GGCTCTGCCTGAGCCTGTGACATTTAACCACAGACCTTTCTTGGAACCCCTGGAAAAAAGACAGCCACCTGACTGCTTCATGATTTAAATAGGCGAGTAATGCCAAATTGAATTTCTGATGACAGAGTAAGTGGTGGCTGAGGACTACAAGCCAAGAAAACATTTTTCCACTGATAGTTAATGAATGGAATGAGGGGAAGGTTTCGATTTGGAAGCCTGAGGACTCATTTTTGGCCTTGAACTTTTTCTTCAAATTGGGCTTTCTAGATGATAAATAAAAGGCTTAATAATGTCAGTTTCTGGGGCACCTGGGTGCTCAGGTGGTTAAAAGTTTGAATTCAGCTCAGGTCATGATCTCGCGGGTCTGTGAGTTCAAACCCCTTGTAAGGATCTGTGTTGACAGCTCAGAGCCCAGAGCCTGCTTCGGATTCTGTGTCTCCCTCTCTCTCTCCCCTCCCCCACTAGCGCTCTGTCTCTCTCTTCCTCAAAAGTAAATAAACATTAAAAATATAAAAAAATCAGTTTCTGTGCAAAGTTAGTTTACCCGAAACCAAAGACCTTTTTGCATGTGTGATGTCACTGAAGTTTTTATTTCTGTTCTTAGCATGTCCTAAAGGTATGTATTTTAAGGACTTGCCTAGTGAAAACGTGTGACTTTTCTATGATTTAAGATTTAATGAGGGTCATCATCTTTCAGATTTGTATATCAGCAAGATTACAAAAAGCCTCCTGTGTGTAATCTTATTTGTTTTGGGCATATTCTTGTAAAGTAGGGAGAGGATGGGATTTGCACGTTTCTGCCAAACATGGGGAAAGAACATCAAGGCATCAAGTCAAGGCCGTAAGGCAAATAGAGATTTCCCTTGTAAAGGTAAATATCTCTTACTTACAAAGGGGTACTTCTCAGTTTTCAGAATTTTCCTGTGTCTGCTGTTTTTTTTTTCTTTTCTTTTTTAATAATCAGCTTAAAATAATCCTGTGTCAAAGAGGCATATTTTGGGGTGACAAGTTCTGCTTCCTTTCACTGACATGGGGACCCTTCTCCTCACGAATGAGTTTTGCCTGCTGTTGTACTACCCCTGAATTCTTCTTGCCTTCCTTGTCTGTACAGCTCATGTGTGAGATGTGCTCTTGAGGAAGCAGCTATTTGCTTTGCTTGTATTTATTTATGCTCCCCTCATGTACCGTTACCTAACCCTTCCTTGTTTGTGAGTCATGTCCCCCTCGCTGGATTTTAAGCTCCTTGAAGGCAGAAATTGCCCACATGTCTAGCATATTCCTGCATGCATAGCAGAGGCTCAGTAAATATTTGCAGAATGAAAGCTGGAGTTGAATGAATGGAGAGAAGGAAAGAAGCAGTAAGCAGATAGTCAAATCAAGACAAAGGCTTCTCTCTTCATTCTCCCCCACAGACATGCATTTTATTTTAACTGATAATACTTGATATAATATCAGGATTGTGCATTGTTTTTTGCTTGTGGGCGATCACGCATGCATTTGACTTTCAGGTTAGATTGTGGGTAGAGAGTCAGGAGTAGACTGAAAGAATATAAAGCGCAGGGGGAGAAAAGGTCAGATGGCCAAGTCAAAGAGAAAGAGCTTGCTTTGGCCTGTGCTGTTGAACCCCAAATTCTAGACCTCATTCTGTGTGATCTTACGCAAGTCACTTTACCTTTCTGAGCCTGTTTGTCCCCGTCGTACAAAAGAGGTTATAAATTCTGCTGCTTTGCACTCCACGGGAGGTCAGCTGAGCTAATACCTGGGAAGGTACTTTGCACAAAAGAATTTAGGGTATTGTCTCAACAGACAGAGAGGTGGCTCATATCACCAGGCCAGCTAGATCGGCTTTCTGCTTTAAGATTCAAACATGACTTGGATGAAAAGTTGGGAAGGCTGAGTTCTTAACATCATAGAATATCAGAGCAGACGGGTATCTTAGAAACCATTCTAGTTCAACCCCCTCATTTTACCTGAGTACGCTGAAGCAAAGAGAACTGATTTCCCCTAACATCCCCCTGAACGGAGCCTGGATTCCAGGTACTCTTTTCACTGTGCCCTGCAAGGCTCTACTTAAAAAGCAAAGTTCATTTGCTCTCGTTACTGTTGGGAGACAAGAGGCCTCTGGCCTGTGTCACAACAAGGAAGCAATCAGGACATTTATCTGAGGCTTTTTGAGTTTCTAAAATTTGACGCACCGTTTTGGTTCAATTATTTCTTGCCCTTTTTTAACCTATGGAGCTACAATCTTCTAGTGTTTGTATACTGCCTACCAGATTTGCTACTCTGCTTAGGTGCTGTGATGGGAGGGGGTGGTTAGAAAAGATTATGACCCAATCCCTGCTGTCAAAGATGTGAGTGTGGGAGATAGGACTAACAATGAGAAAACAATGGGAGGCAGTATGTGATTCAGGATAAAATGAGTAGTGCAGGCAATAACTGCTATAGAAGTTCAGAGGAGGGAGAAAGTTCTGGGACCTGGGGGTGGGGGTTGGGGGTTGGGGGAGAAAGCAGTGTCATGTGGCATCTGAAGGCTGGGTAGGATTGTTTATGCAGATGTGGGCGAGGGCACTAAATCTGAGGGTATATGCCCGTATGTACGCAAGCTCACACAGATGCAGAACTGGGTAATAATAATGGGTAGCATTTATTGGGCATTTATGTCTATGCACCAGATAATGCATAATGTCCTACATAGTGCAACACATTTAAAAGTACATAATCCTAGGAATTAGATAATAATTAATAGCCCTTCAGTTAATGGAAGTTGAGGCACAGAGAGGTTACAGCAATTGCCCAAAGGGACACAGCAAGTAAAAGGGATTACAGCCTTGGGGCCTAAAAACACTTGGCCCTTCTACCTATGAAAAAGAGGAACTTGTGACTCAGATGAGGAAATTAGCCTGGCTCCAGTCATTAAAGACGGTGGTTTTGCAAACGCAGGGCCCTGTAGCAGGCCAAATTGTCGATAGAAGTTCAGCAGGAACATTGGAGGGATTAATGAAGCCATTTACCGAATTCTATATCCTCATTTCTTCCTTCCTGGAAGACAGGAACTTGAGGTCTCCAGATGCTGCAGGTCATTGCCGGGAGCCCACCACTTTACCCTTAATGTTTCTCGGTTATGTTGCGGAGGATTTAACAAAACACCTAAGGAGAATGAATGAGGGAGCCCAGGAGTCAATTCTAGTTTGTTGTTGTTCTTTATTAATTAGCACTTGAAAAGCATCTGGCCTATCGTGGAGGCCCTACAAAGCTTGGAATTGGATAAAGCTACCTGGCTCCAAAGCTCAGTTTGTGGGGAAAACCAGGCTTGGAAAGGATGCGAGGACAATGGCCTGGTAATGCAGTAGATTGTATTTTATGTTTTGAGTCTGGCTTGTGGCCAACACCCGAAAGTATTTCCTAGGCAAAGTGCCTGTGTTTTTCTGGATATTTTCCTAACTCACTGTGAGTCTTCAATAAATGTTGAACCACTGTGAGGTAGATCCTGAGGTCCCTTTCCTGTTTCCTCCTCCCAAGAGAAGCAAACCACAGTCTAGGGTTAGAAGGCAGCCTAGAAGAGGGGACCTTGCTCCAATCAGCAGCTCTTTTCCAATTCTTGGGCTCCTGCACAGTCCCGTTGTCCTTGCTGGCCTTCAGGGGCTTGACCCTGAGTCGCGTGCATGTTGGAAAACAGCTGGTACCCTGTAGGGACAGGGGAGGCGAAACGGTTAGGAAAGCTTCTCCCCCGACTCCCCGGCAGCAAGTCCAGGGTGGAGGGCAGGAGAAAAAGGGAGGAGGGCCAGGAGAGGGAGCGGCTGTGGCCTGGGGTAAAAGGTGAAAAATACCGAAGCAGAGCAAGGAAAAGAAGGAAAAGGAGCCTCCATCCTCAGGCACTGAAATGGCCAGTGGGACTGGGGCGACAAAGGCAAGGAAAGAGGACATCCTGGTCCCGCAAGAGTCTCCTTTCAGGTCAGAAAGGAGGAGACGCGCCGAGAAGGTCACAGCCAAGCAAACACCCCGAAGCAAAGCTGGCACAGAGGCTCAGGACTAGCCAAGCTTCTTCATTCCCCGTGAGCTTAGTGAGGGCCCGCTGAGCGCCTACTATGTGCTCGGTGGACAGAGACGCGCCCGGGGCAACCGCGTGGCGGAAGCCGGAGTCGGCCAAAACGGCTTCCCGGGGTGGGCGAACTGTGTAGACGGCGCTGAAGGAAGGTGGATGTGCACGCGTGCAGGCTTGAGGAGTGCAGAACGCGAGGCAGGCCGGGGAGGAGGGGAAGGAGGCGGGGACTGAGGCCGGAGGGGGGTGGAGAGGGGAGGGGGGAGGAGGGAGGGAGGATGGGAGGTGTGAACAGTGGGAGCGGTGGGGGGAGCGAGGGAGGTCGCGGTGGGGAGGCGGCGAGGCGGGGCAGTCGCGGCCCGAGGGCGAAGGGGAGGGCGAGAGGCTGCGCTGGACGCCGCGGGGCGGGGGGGTGGGGAAGGCGGCGGCGGCGAGGGGGAGGAGAGAGGGAGGGGAAGGAGGAGGAAGCGAGCACGGCCGCTGCAGGGGGAGGAAGACGGGGAGGAGGAGCCGCGCACGGTGGCGGCGGCGGCAGCTGCGGCCGCCGGGTGAGCCGAGCGCCGGGGCGCTGGGAGCGCGGGGAGCGCGGGAGGCGAGCGGCCGCCGAGCCGGAGCCGCGGGCCGAACTGCCGGTGAGTGGAGCCCCGAGGGGCGCGGCGGCAGATCCCCGGGCCGGGCGGGAGGCGCGGGCAGATGCGACGCCGGGGCGGAGGGAGGGGGCCGGCCGAAGCCCAGCCCCTGGCTGGCCCGGCCTTCCGACCCCCCTTCTCCCTCCCCGCCGGCTTCCTCCCGCGGCTGCCTGCGCCAGGGGGGCTGGTCCCGGGCGGGCCGCGGGCGGGGGGAGGTGCTGCCCGAGGGCGGGCGTCTGGGGCCGGGGGTGGAGCTGGGGGCGGGAGGCTGGCCTGGGACGGCGCTAAATTGGCTGGAGGGGCCCGTCGGCGGCGAAGTTGCTAGCTGGGGGCAGAGACGGCCACGCGGTTGCAGGAGTAAGAGATCCCCTTGTGGCGAGTGCGTGAGACGAGGAGTCCGGCGTCCCTGCCATCCCCGTCGCTCTCCCCGCGTGCCCGGCCCCGCTAGCTCCTCTCCTGGCCTCCGCGTGTCCCCTCGCTCTCACCCCCGGCGCTCCCCGGCTGGCTCCCGCGGCTCTGCCGGGTCCCCTCGGCCCTCGCCGTGACCCTCCCGACCTCCGGCTTCCCCTGCCCCCTGCTTGCTTCGCCACTGCCCCTGTTCCCTTTTCTGCCCTCGCTAGTCACCCCGCCCCGCTTCGTAATTCCCGATGCAATTGCCTCTTTGAGACCTTTTTTTTTTTTCCTCTCCTTCCTTTTAGATTGGCCAACGGCTCCTTTCAACCCTGCCTCGTTGGTGGCCACTGGAGAAGCGCGGGGGGCTCCCCAGACAGCCGTGGGGACAAATTAGAGCCAGCACTTGACCCCGGGCCTCGCGTGTAGCTTCCCTTCCCCTGCTCTAGGTGCCCCGGTGTCTGGAGGGGGGTGCGGGGGTGTGCCCTTCGGTACACGTCCCAGCACCCGGGCAACCCTCTGGGCTTGTGTTCCATCTCGCTCTTGCTTCCTGCACGGTGGTCGAGGGGAACCAGTTGGCATCATGTCCCGGTATAGCTACCAAAGTCTCCTGGACTGGCTCTATGGGGGCGTGGACCCCAGCTTTGCAGGCAATGGGGGCCCCGACTGTGCTGCCTTCCTCTCTTGGCAGCAGCGGCTGCTGGAAAGTGTGGTGGTCCTGACCCTGGCCCTGTTGGAGATCCTGGTGGCCCTGCGGCACATCCTGAGGCAGACGAAGGAGGACGGTAGGGGTGGCCGTGGCTGCCAGCCAGAGCAGGTGACCCAGCGGCCAGAGGAAGGCAAGGAGAGCCTGAGCAAGAATCTGCTCTTAGTAGCCCTGTGCCTGACCTTCGGGGTGGAGGTGGGCTTTAAGTTCGCCACCAAGACCGTCATCTACCTGCTCAACCCCTGTCACCTGGTCACCATGATGCATGTGAGTGTGTTGACTTTTTCCCTGGCAGCCTTAGTGATAAGAGTCATTTGTGTGCTCTAGACACTCGGAAGTGTAGAGCACTTCATCCGGCGGGAAGTGGGACCCTTAAACATGATTTTCCCAGAGTGGCTGTTTCTGTGCGGATTCCACATTTGTCTTTCTTTCATCTTTGCACAATGCGTCAGCTCCACAGTGGAGGTAAGGGACATAGTGACAGAGCCCTAGGAATCACTGGCACTCTGGTAGGCTGTCCCTCCCTCCCAGCCCTGCCCTGGCCTTTCACAAGCAGGAAGACCAGCCCCAGCCAGATGCCCTTTCTGAATCACATCTGGGACTGTGGCCCTGCTGCAGTGAATGTCCCAGAGGCCCGATGACACCTTTTCCTGGAGGTGGTCATATAAGGTTCCTTGTCTCTGCTGGGGTACTTTGGGGAAATACTTCATGGGGGAGTTTTATGCTCTTAAGGTGAGGTCTGCCTTTGAATTCTGAGATGCACTGGAGCAGGCTGACGCCTGAACTTCGGGCTGGTGCTCTCTACCCACGGTGAGAGGGTATTTATTTTTTGCAAACCTCTCCATCTTATCGCTCTTATTCTATTTCCTGTGGTCATGGTCTGGGGTGCTCAGAGAACTGATTTCTTTACCTCCCATTAGTGGTGCTAAGAAAAACAAATGGGATTGAAAAGGAAAGTTGCCAGATACATAAAAATAATCTGGGTGAGGCCCAAGAGTGAGAGTCTTTCTGCACTCAGCCTGTGTGGAGAGATGTTCTAAAACTATAAAATCATGGAGGAGGAGGAAGAGGAGAGAAGGGAAAAAAAAATCTTTATTTTAGATTTCAGGCTGTGAAAAACCTGGTGTGTTTTATTCAGGGACAGTTTTGAAACCTGTCATTAGCATCTTTATTGCTTTTATATTTGTAGAAGGTTATTCTCTGGAGACTTGCAACAACCCTGTGTGGGGCAGGAGGTTGAGGTTATTATCTCGGTTTTATAGGCCGGGTGGGGCCCAGGGACGAGAGGTTGCTTGCCTGCAGCCGAAAGACGAATTAGCGTCTGGGTTGGAAAGTTCACCCGCCCTCTTTGGGGTTGCAAGCTGTCAGTGGAACGACAGGGAGGTCTCATGGGGAGGCCCAGGCTGATAGGCATGGCACTGCCTACTTGTGGCTTCCAGGCTTGCTCACTCGCTCTGTGAGCCCTTTTTTGATTGCAGGTTCCTGCCCTCAGTTTCCCAATCTGTAAAATGTGGCGAACGGTCCGTCTCCAGCCCCTTCCTGTCTTGCAGATGTGGCAAGGGGGTGTGGACAGCCGTGTGGCAGTCAGCAGTGAGTAGGGCCTCAGGGTGGCATTTTTTTTTTTTAAGAGAGGGCTTTTTGGGATGTAATGTTGTTCACAGGAAGCCCAGGGCTCTCCCAGCTAGACTTTCTGTGTAAATTTGAGCCCAGTCCTCTTTCTTTTTTATTTTTATGAATGGGCTTTTTGTTAATGAGAGGAAACAACGCATCTCAGCCGCTGCTGTGTGAGGCTCTCAGGACAGGAGTGCTTTTTTTGGACGGCAGGTGGTGAGGGTCAGAGGGTGCCTCTCCCACAAAGGGGTCTTGAGGCCTCTGGCAGCCCCGTATCTAGAAGGTCAACAAAGGAGTAAATTCAGCCTGGCTGGGGCTGCTGCTGGTGTGATGACATCAAACCTGGCAGCACCATGGTGTTGAGTGGAAGGGTTTTTAGAAGCTTTCAGAAGACTCTAGAGACTTAGTTCTGGCATTATGTAGTTGTGTGACTTTCAGGAAAAGTAACTTCTTGGGCCTCAGTTTGCCCATCTGCCAAATGAGAGCATGCTTAGCTCTGGACAGTCAGCGTTCTGTGATTCTTTTCTCCTCAGGTAGTGGCCAAGGATGCAACAGAGTGCTATTCTAGAAATGCTTCTGGCCTCCTCGTGTGGAAAAAGGAACCTCATTTCTTCTTTGCTGGGGTCAGGTGGCCTTGTTCATCTTCTGCTTCCTGTATCTCCCCAGTGAAGTCAACCTGACCTGGCCACCCTTGGCCACATGCATAGATGATGATGATGCTTGGGGCTGGTTGCTGGAGAGGGATGGATGCTTGGGTGGGGGCAGGGGACTATGGGCTGTTCCCTGTCACCTGTGCTTTTTCTCTTGTCGTGTGCTTAGCTTTGCTCGTTACTCCTGTCCCTGCTTTGTGTCATTTAAATAGTAGCCTCAGGCCTGCTGTGGGACCCAGCCTTTGGTCAGTCCCACATCCCATACCCTATGTACTCTACATATGCCTCTTCCTGGGAAGCAGGAAAGTATGGATTTTTAGAAGTTAGTAGGAGTCCTTAGAAAAAAATCACAACGGATGGTCAGAAACCATTTTCTGACTTCACTGCAACAAGGGCTCATGATAGCCAGTGTGGTTAATAATACCTTACACTTATCTGCCACTTTACTGCTTATAAGGCACTTTCATGTACATTATCTTATTTAGGCTTATGATAGGTTAGCTTGGGCCTGGAAAAGAGATGTTAAAATGTTTCCTGTGACCGTGTATATATATTCCACAGGGGAGATGTTGAGCCCGGAGAAATGCTTTGGCCAGTGAACTTGCTGAATTAGTCTACACTATGGCAGGACATTCTGTGGAGTTCAGAGGTCCCGAAAAGGAATGGGACACATTGGCTGAAATGAAAGGGACAGCTTAGCAGAAAACATTTCTGGTGTGTTTCTCCCAACAGGATGACTCAATTTTGGCTTCATAGAAAGGCCTTGTTCCTCCGAGTGTCTGTAAGTTTGTAACAAGAACAGTATTGCTTTACGCCAGGAAGTGGAAGAGTTGGAGGGAAATTGGTTAGTTTCCCCATCTCCCATTTTTCTGTCTGTAACATATTTATTCCCAAGGCCTTTTTAAACAGCGCCTCATCATGACCATGCTGCTCTTGGATGGCTGCCAGCATTAGAAGCATAACGAAGGGCAGTTCTGGTGTCTGAGCTCTGTTCTTGATTAATATTCCTGCTGTCCGGTTTCTTTTTGGTCTCATCTGATGTCTCAGAGGCCTTGGGACCGTGGGTGATCGTGGTTTGTATGACTGAAGCACCACCATCTCCCATCTCCCCTTCGGCTGGAGCGCGAGAGGGTTCTGGGGATCTATAAGCCCCAAGATTCACACACCATTGTTAAGCCCCTTGGTGAAGATCAGTGGTGTCTACCAATGAGCATTTCTTCGAGCGTGGCTAGTCCCTTCGTGCATGCTACTCTGGCAGGTATGGGTGACAGGGAGTGAGTTTACTCAGTGATTATGCTATTTACCAAAAATCACCCAGCAAGTTCATGGCAGAGGTGGCTTTAAGACTGAGCCACCATGGTGGGAACTGAGGCATTAGCAGAAAGAGATTCTCGTAGCTGTTTAAGTCGTAAAGTCTACAGTTTCTCAGCAGAATGGTTAACATGCTCAGCAGTTGGACCAGTTCTATCTGTATAGACTGGTGTTCTTAAATTATTGGCCCTTCATCTCCCTTGCACGGAGTTATACTATCTCTGTCTTAGGTGTGTAACAAAAAGATCCCATACTGATGGCTTTTCTAATTGTCTGGTTCCCGTCGGCTGTGGATGTGTCTGTGTTGAACATCTCCTGATTGAGCACTGAACTCAGTGGGGCACAGCATATGGCTATGCACATAAGGCAGGCTGGATCCAGGCTGGATGTTTGCCAAATTAATAATTGATGCCACAGACCCTGGAGCGCCACGTCACTGTTTTTTTTTTAAATGTTTATTTTTGAGAGAGAGAGAGAGCATGTACGCAAGAGAGAGCGCGAGTGAGCGAGCAAGCGGCGGTGGTGGGGGGTGATGGGCAGAGAGTGAGGGGGACAGAGGATCCAAAGTAGGCTTCTACTGACAGCAGCAGGACGATGTGGGGCTAGAACTCATAAACTATGAGATCATGACCTGAGGTGAAGTTGGACACTCAATGGACTGAGCCACCCAGGCGTCCCTTAGCCAGTTGTTCTGAGTGAGCCCCATCCTGTTTTAGAGGATGCTATTGTTTTATCATTGCTATTGATTCCCTGTCTTCTTTATACTATATTAGAAGTCTGATTTCTACCAAATTCGGCTTGCCTGCTTTTGCTTCACTGTTTGATTTTCCTCCTTCCTCCTTCCTCACCGCAAATGTAAGAATGGCACATCTTCAAAACATTCCTGAGCTTTTTATGACACCTTTTGGAACTAACTGAATAAACAGTGGTGTGTTCCATTCACCCTGTGATGGATTTGTTTTAGAGAAAACCTGATGGATTTGAGAACTAGGCTTTTTACCCCCCCCACCTCCTTGACTCGAGACCAGCCACACCTCCTCATCCCCATCTGTTGTCTGGAGCACTGGTAACTGCTCCTGTTTGGAATTGACGTCGGTGGGTAATGGGTACAATGAGGGATCCAGCCATCTGCTGACAGCTTATCAGATGGACTCTGTCCTGTGTCATCAGTCCAGGGGGACACAAGAGGCTGATGTTTATATGGGCCTCAGCAGTGAGGCATGACATTCCTTTTTAGTTTGTTTTATTTTTTCCCCCAAGGAAATTTGCAGAGAATTTTTCCATCTTCCATTGTTACCGTCTTTTGGGGGCGTCCATTATAAAGAGAAGTCGTGTGTGGATTGGTGGATCCGACAACTCACAGAACGCCTTGGGACTTAACACTATGATGCTGGTTTTGCTCATGGCTTGCTATGGGGACCCGAGGAAATTATTCCATCTTTTCCTGTCTCTGTCTTCTCTGTGAAATGGGCCACGTGGAAAACAAAGCATTTTTAATCCTCTATGTGGTCACTTTAACAGAGAAGCTGGGTAGAGCTGATCAGAGCTGGCACACGACCAATGTATTTTCACCTCAAAGTCAGAAACTGACAAACCTCCACTCCTTTGCACCTTTCTTGATAGCTTTTGAAATTCATTCCCCTGAGCATTTCTGTTGCTCTTCTCTGGCTCCTGGCACGCGTCTGCATGCGCTTC